CAATTAATGCTTTGTTCAAGTATTAATGGACATTTACAGTCGCGTCTTGATTAAGAACAGAAAAACAGATAAACTATTTTTTTTTTATTATATGTTATTTAATTAAACAAACATGATTTTCTAGTCTCTCTCTTAGAACGTACTTGTGTAATTTTTAGTTTTCAACAAATAATTATAACTTAATCTTATTAAATAGTTTGTTGAATTTAAGTTTAAGGTTTTTTTAAGTATTTTTTTTATTATAAAATATTTTATTCAGTTAAAATAACATTAAATTTATTGTTTCAAATGCTATTACAATCTTGCAATCACAACGTGAAAACACTGATTGAAACCCGTGGTTATTAATTTACGTAAAAAAAATAATTTTTCTCCCTGTATTAACTGAAGGAAACTCTTGTGATACCAACAATCGTTTTTGGTTAAAATATTAGAGAATTGAGATTTGTATTGTTATTAAGATTGCATTTTGCAGCAGATTAAATTTTTATGACTTAATGGCATTCCTTAAAAATAATTAGTAGGATAGATGAGATAAATATTAGTAAACACAGAAATGACAAATGTATGAAAAAAATTATTATTATTGTATAGATTCATTTATTAAAATACTAATGTAGATATTTTAAGTTGATTTAAATCTTAAAATTCAAATTATTAATTTTTTTATATTTCTCCAGGAGTGTTTCAAATTTGTATTATTTTCATTAGTTTTAATTAAAAATTAAACCAGATTTACCTCGGCAAAGAAATGTCTTTGCTTAAAAATAAAAAAAATGTCAAAAGTCAAAATATCTAAAGATCTCGGCAAACCTTTTAGATTTGAACAAAATGCAAACGCTCTTAATTGCATTGAAAGGTTGAATTGTTTTTTGTGATACTTTTTTCAACTTTTCTCCCCCGCAGCCAAAACTGTTTCGTGCAAAGTATTACTCAGATATGACTCAGATTGTAGGGTCACATCATTATATATAAAGGCAACGAATCGAGTAGGTCGGTCCAATCAATCGCTTCGGAGAATCTTTAATTTGTCAAAAATTCAAGGCACATGTCTCGATATAAACGCAGCCTTTCATCGCAGCACTTTGGAATGAAATTTATTGTGTGTGCGAATTTTCGAGGCTCATCTATTACACGCTGCTCTCATGTATTGCCAAAGACGAAGAAGATTTTCGCACAGCACACAAACAAGGCGTTTACAAAGATGGATGATTCAAATATCAGCCGGAGAAAAGTCAAGAGCGCGCGAGTGATCGATTGGTTTTCTGACCACACACGCAGGGGGTCTCATTATTGCATTTCGCCGGCCTCGCTGCTCTCTCGTCGTGTAATTTACAACTCGCTGCACGGCGGCGGCGGCACCCAAAAGAAGGCTCAACCGCGGCGGTCCTCCTCGTCCCTCCTCGCACCACCAACAATAATAACAAAAGTGCGCGAGCGCGTTCAAAATTACATGTGTAGCTAATCACCTTTGCGGGTGAAAAATGACTCTGTATACAAACGCCACAGAGGAAGTGACGACGCTTATTGAGCGCTCTCAATGTGCAGCTGAGAAATTTTTTACCACCAGAGCGGATGGTTTGCAGGCGAAACGCGGAAAAACCATCATCTCGGGGTGCGCAGCGTGGAAAATTGAGTCTCAAGTCGCGCATCACCAGAAATTCCTTTGTGAAAGCAAAAAGGCCAAAAAATATTAATAAAGAGCAAGATAAACATTTTAAGTTAAGAATCGAAGACCTTTTTCTCACTTTAAAGATATAAGCTTTAAACATATTGAGTTTCATTTTGTCACAAAAATTTTATTAAAATTTAGTTTCAAATAATGATTATTATGTAACACGGCGGGCATTCTCTGCTATCGATATCCAAACAAAATTTAAGAATACTAATAATACAGTGATTAATTAAAAGAGAATATCAACTTTTTCTCTTGCCGGCTTTTGGTAGTTTTTGTTTTGTTTAGGAAAATTTATATTACAACAAATTTAATTAAAGATACAAAAACTTACTAAGGAAAAGGGCTGAATTTATGTTCTGAAACAATTAATAAATTTAGTGAAGCATTTCTTATATTTTTTACTACTTTATAAGCAACTTTTCTTTTAAATAATTTAAATAAATAATTTGATTTTAAATGCAAGTTTTACTTTATATTTATAATTATTTTATTTTATTTATTTTTTAGTTTTTGCAACCTAATTTTATTTTTTATTTTTTTAGCTTTGTCAAGGATTATTTTCAGAGGCTCAACTCTTTGTATAATTATATTAAACCGGAAAAGATCAGATTCTCTACCTGTGTTCTATAATTAGATTAATGGAAACCTTACTGTGTAGTATGTTTGTCTGTTGTAAATTTTGATGCATTATAAAAGTTAAAGATATTGAAAAAAAAATAGCGAGTCACAAAATCTGAGGTGCATACTGGGAAAATTAATTTTTTTCCGTCTATTGTAAAAAAATGATGTCAAATAATGAATATTGTTTTTCTTCTTATGTATAATCACAAAAAGCCCCGTGAATCTTGATAATGCCATATTTTGCATTTAAATATTTTTTTTCACTCATGGCCACCGTGAAATAAATTCATTTCAATAACCGGAGCACTTTTGCAATTTTCCACAACACACAACCCGCTGAATTGAACGCGGCGGAAAGGGAAAGTATTTTGGGGGTACAACTTTTGCATTCGTCCCCGGGTGGTTGCAGCCGAGCCGGAGGTCTCCGGAGACCAAATGCGGGTTGTGAAGAGGGTGCATGGCATTCAGCAGGGTAGTTTTAGCCCCTTGGCTGTTTGCTCGCTGATCCTTTTTTTCAGAAAATAATCCGTTGCGGAGGCCGTTTGCATTCTGTTCGGGCCAAAAATGCACGCAAAATAGCTGACGGGGGATGACGGGATGCGCATTTTGAGCGAAAATAAGACCCACTAGCGGATTCTGATCAGATATTTTTGGTGTTGATTGCTAAGCCGACGATGCCCCTGTGGAAATTAAATATGCCCCTCGCTCGCGCGCATCTGTATTGAGTGCGAAACGGGCTCAGCGGGGCGCGCTTGTTTCATATGGACCGCCGGGTAATTCGGTTTCAGTAAAGAGCCGGGGATATCCGGGCACCACCCTCTTCATTAAGAGGCTCGTTTGGATGCTTGTGAAGCGCTTCAAGGGACAAAATCACCGCCGCAGAAACAATATTAAATCTAATTTCATCATACATTATTTTCATGGAAATTAAAATTATGCGTAAATAATAACCCCAAGGAGATGCCAGCCTACTTAAAGGACAATTATGTCTTTTTGAATCTGCTTATCCTCAGCAAAAGCCTCTCACTTTTTTATATTTATTTTATTATTAGAGGAAAAATTTAATTTATACTATAACGAAAACCAGGGGAAATACGGGGAAATATATTTAGCAATTTTTCAAACAGAATATCTTTAATTAAATTAAAAATATTAATTTAGTAGATAATGCAAATATTAAATAAAATTGATAAATTCAGAGTATATTAAAATATATTTGAATAAAAATATGTCTGCAAAAATAAATTTTTAAGTATAAGTTAATTACATAAAATAAACATTCACATTACAAATATTATTTTTTTACTATAGCTGTAGTCAATCAGTGCTTTGATTAAAAAAAAATTAATTAGAAGGTCAAAATATAAAATATAATATTTTCAATTCTTCAACAAGTCAAAACAAGGAATTAATAAATAAATTAACTTGGAAAAAATGGGCTTTTATAATATTTAATTTTATTCTTCTCTGGCCAAAATTTCCAAAAAGGTTTTATGAAATGAAATCAATTAGGATAAAAATTTGGGAGATTAAATTTTTGTTCATTTTATTATTTTTGTCAATCTTTCAATAAAAACTAAAAAAAATCAGTTAAAAAGAGTGAAAAATACTTCTTTGGATGGGCAGTTTATTAAATTTGGCAAAGCAATCTCAAAACTAAACCAATGTATTCTCTGAAAAAAAGGAAATTTTTATTAAAATAAAATCCGTATAGCAAATTTTGAGCGGACTTGGTAAATTACGCACGCAATTTAATTGGAAAATTAAACACGATGTAATTAAATCAACGTCCCCGTGTATTCTGAACGTGCCGGGAAATCACAAACACAAAGCGGGCAGCGAGTCATTCTGCGAATTATCGTCCCTCGCTGTAATGTTAGTTGATAATGAGAAGCTCCTCCATCATCTGCGATAAGAAATCCTTTGGCGAATCAAGCGCGCCCCTTTCCCGACGTTTGTATTTGTGCACATGTTAATTTTATCTCGCTTCCATTCAAGCCCATTGTGCGCGTCCACAGAACTATATCAAAACAATTATTGCGTTGTAACCTCTGGCATTAACGGTACCTTCACCCTTTGTACCGCGAAGAGGGAATGAAACATGAACAATGACTTTCGTCAGTGAAACGGCTCGTCTTCCGCTTTTTAAAGCTCGGGGCTTCAGGGCAGTCGTATAATCGTCTTAATTGGAAAATGTTTGAAGGGGGTGAGAGCGAGAGAGTAAAGTAGCTGTGGGGCGAGTCTGTCACAGTCATGCATAGAATAATAGATTAATTTCCCCTCAGAAATAAAGGCCACAGTTGCCTGCTTTTTTTAAATTAAAATTTTGCAATTTTAATGTCGTACTCAAATAAAAGGCCCATTGTATTATAAAAATATTTGCATTCATTCAAAGTTGCCAAACATTGGGGTGGTTTTTCAATTGAAACAATTTTTTTTCCGCCGGTTGTTTGGAATCAATAGAATCTATAGAATTTGTAAAAAAAAAATACTCGAAAGTTTTGGCAAATGAATTTTTTACATATTTCACTCCCTTTATGTTCCGAGTCGGAAACAAACATGTTCTGACCCTTCTGAATTCACTCACCTCTCACGCCGTAGTGCAGGGAGTGAGCGTGAGGGGGCGCCGGATCGAAAAGGCACGCGCATAACCATAACCAAGCAAGCAGCGAGATATTCACTTATTCAGTGTTTAGCAGCAGCTCGCGAGGAACGGTTGTGTCGCTCTCTGCATTTCGACAGCCACTCACTCGCTCTATCTGTTCACACAGACAATTGGACCAATTTTGGATTTTTTCCGGTGATCAGTGCTCGTTTTATTGTTGTGGTGCTTCAGAGACTTTCGAAAGAAGCCCGACTTCATTTTTTGCTGGTTTCGCATCATCATCAGAAAAAAAGGTGAGAGAATTTGTATTTTTCAAAATAATTACGCTTGTAGACGAAATCGAATTACATAATCGGCGTGTGTGTAATGGAATTGCAATTATCGTCGCACAGGTAATTCGAGTGGGGTGTGTAGTGGCGCAATGATTAGCATTATTCGCAATTCATTAATTGCAAATGTGCTGCAGTCGGCGAATAATTGGCGAGCGTCGGCACCTGAGCCCGAGCGGCACAAACTGTAGTAATAACGAGTAATGGAATTGAACGGCCACTCGGACATATGGGCGCAGATTCCAATTTATTGTTCATGCAGCCGCCGTTCGAGTGGACGCACTGCAGAATTAATGGATTACGCACTTAATGCTGCGGGCAAAGTGTTTGAGGCTTAATTATCAATTCTGTTGGTGCGGCAAAATTGATTCACCCTCGCGTCTATTGAGTTGAGCCGAAAGGCGCCGAAGCTAGCAAATCATGCAGGATTTAAAAGGAAAATCCCAGATTTTCTCGCCTCCTTTTTTAACTACACAGACTGTTTCATTACAAAGGGTCAATAATCAGGTTTAGTAAAAAAATATTTAAACGAAGACAATGTAATACAATATAATATTAATGCAATAATTTATATAATATAGTTATTTTTAATTAATAATTGAATTTAAAAAAAAAATGTGATTTTGAAACTGTAAAAAACCTCAGAGTTTTGGTGCAAAATTTTTTAGAATTGGAAATCGCATAAAATCTAAAAAGAATAAAATTTCTGTTTTTTTGTTAATTAATTTTTCCTTCATTAAAACTTTTTAAATAAAAAGGCAAACCGGCAGCATCATGAGCGCATGACTAGAATGTTTCGTCATTAATTTATATTAATCAAATAAAAAATAAAAATTTCGGCCTTTCTTATGGAACAGATATTAGTAAATTTTATAATGAAGCAATGAAATTTTCATTACAATTTTTTTACATGTTGATTAAATATTCAGATTTGTAAATCCAAGGATATGGAATTTATAATCAAATAATTGGGAGAATTTGACCAAAAGTATAAGTTTGGGATGAAATGCCAGAGATTATATAAAAATTCCCACGGTTATAAAGAGCTAGGCAACAAAACATTCGTCTGCTTTTTGTATAAATTGCACAAACTATAAAAGAGAAAAGTTCTCCACCGCAAGGATGACTGTTTCAATCGTTTTCCCAGGCATTATGTACCTCTCTTTTCGCAATTTGAAAAAAGTAGGGCTCATTGTCCCGCTGCAAAAAAGACGTAATTTGGATGAGACGTTGCCATAAAAAGAAGTTAAAAAGCTCAGCGTGATTTTTTGCAGAAACGGTGCTTCGAAAATATAATATAATGACGAGCATAAGGGAAAGGTTCGATTGTGGCGCAGCAGAAAGAGAACAAATTGCCACCTCTAATACGGACCGGCCGAAAAGCAGCAATGCTTTTATTTTGCGCCTTATATGGGAAATACTCATTCATGCACCTTCTGCTTTTTACGCGCGTCCAACAGCACGAGTGAAAGAAAAGGAGCTAGTCTGGCTGATGGATGTTGGTCCATCAACCTTCCTAATATAAAATGTCCGAAATACAAAATGCATCGGTGTGCCCTTTATCACTGTCACGACCCTTGTTTGTTTGTTTTAATAAAATAATACTGCACTGCCCAAACATTTAACTTCTTATACAAATCGGACACATTGTTTTTTTTTCCTTTGTGAGAGAAAAAATATGAAGAAAATTAATGACAGAAACCCTAAGAAATTTGTATCTGTAAAAAAATATATTTTTTGTTCGTTTTGATTAAAATTCAAAGCAGCTCCACTGGACAAACAAAACTTTTTAGATGAAAGCAGTTCTTTTCTTGCTTGTTTGTTTGTTTTCTCGCTCGGAGCAATAATTAAATTTCGAGAGCCGGCTGGAGGAGCAGATGAGATTTCGGCGCTAATCTATGAAGAAGCAGGCGTGTGATATGCTCGCTGTTGTTGGCTGCTCTCTCGTCTTGGGGTGGCGAACACTTAGCGATATTAGCCTCTCTCGCTCACAGGGTGTACAAACAAACCATTTAAAATAATCCACTTAAGCTAGTCGAGAATTAGCAACACTTATACGTGTGGCGGCAGCTCGTCTGCGTCGCGCCTTGGCAAAGGATTTGGCGCGATTTTGGAAGCGGAAAATCGGCAAAACCTCACGTACTCTGTGCGAAACTCAATTAACACTTTATGTGCTGAAAAGTAAGGAAAGGGTGTGGCTGAAATGAAGTTAAAGAAAAAAGATTAGTTTGTATAGTACAAATGCTTTGCAAATGATTAACAAATTAATATTGTTTAATGCATTGAGCAAATAAAATTTGTATTTTATAAACAATAAAATACAAATTTACTGTAGTTTTTATATCTAATATTATATTTTCAAATTATATTTGTTTTTTTTCTATATTATTTGTAATTTATTTTATGATTTATAAATCTTTTTGTGACAATTTTTAAGTCTTATTATATTATAGTAAAATATAACAATAACTGTTTGAAGATAAAATATTAGCATTTACTGTCATTTATCTGCTCATACATAGTCTCCCCATGGGGATATCAATTGGTACCACGATACACCTTTCCTGCATTTTAATTAAGCGATCTAGCTGTGAATTCCACTCGAAAATATATAAATATTTTAATCTAATTGTACAATATTTTGATTTTTAATTTTATTAGTTAAAACACATTTTACAGCTCTTGAGTTTTCTTCCCTACACTTTATCAGGAGAAAACAACCAAATGTATGAATGTGTTAAATTCATTAATTTCATTAAGATAAATATTTCTTTTTAATGTCTTCAAAATTTTCAGCTATTTAGAAAAAGTTGCATTTTAATTGAAAATCATAATTATTTTTCTTCTTAATTATGGTACAACTAAAGACTTCCTTCCGCTTTCCTGCACTTTTTTCTTCCTCTCAGGACAAATTGCATGTATATCTGTGGAGAAAAGAAAATCGATTGTAGCAACAGCTTGCGAGCTGCAACATTAAGCTAATGCAAAACGAGTGTATCAGTCTGGGTGTCTCTGTATAACGCAAAAGTGGCGGCGGAAACGAGACCACTCTCCATGAATATGTAGGGATCGGTGTGTAAAAATGCCGCCGCAATAAAAGTCTCCGGCGGAGACGAAAAAGTTTTTGGGCAAACAAAATGCACCTGCTACTATTTAAATATTGTAGAGAGAGAAAGAGCATTATGGGCCTCGCGCGCGCAGATGCTGCTCGCGAGCTTTTCCGAGATGAAATTTATTTATGTCCCTGCATATAAAAGAAGTTTGTAAATGCAAATAACGAAAAATAAATTCACCGTGCGTCGGTTTGCTGCGAAAAGGATTAAGCACCGCAAAGAGTGAGAGAGAAAAACAGCCAAACAATGCTAAATTTCCATTTTAAGGTGGTTCATCCGGTATCTGCACTGCAAAAAGTTTCCCATATGATCAAAGCAAATTTAAGGGCCAGGTTGATTTTAATATTTTTCCATCTTGATCAGGGTGATATGATCTTGATTAGGTAAATATTTAAATTATTTTAACCGGTTTTAACCTTTTAATCGGAAATGACTCATTTAATTTTGCTTTATATAAGTCAACCGTGCAGAATTTAATACAACAAAACTCCTTTAAAAAGAAGGAGAGTTAAAGTAAAAAATTTCGCGTTCTTTGTGGCCACTTTGTCCGCTCCAGTCCGCTCGCTCTTTTCCGCCGGAGAATGCAAAAAGCACTGGGGGATGTGTATAGAGAGGAAGCATTGAATAAGAAAGATATATGTATAAAAGAAACGTTCTTTTTCCGTATACAAAAAAGCGAGTGGATTGAACGAGACGGAAAAAGTCTCTCGATCCGCTGCAGCATTTTTGTCGCCCGCCTGGCGCATCAATGTGTAAGTAAACAAGTAGAAAATCTCTCTTTCTCTACCATTCGAAATAAACATTCAGCCAGAGCAGATTTGGCGCTCTTTGTGGAATCGATGCTTTTTCAAAGCGTGGAGAGGAAATCGGGGTTCGTTGATGTATAAGGAATTTTTTCTCCTTTCTGATATCATTATACGACGGCAGTGTCGATTTAAGACGCCGGAGATTAAGGCTGCGGCGGCGGAGTCTTCCTTTCATTCAATGGGGTAGGTTAAGCCTCTCTCCAAGTCGTTTTCAAGTATGGAATCAAATATAAAAGTGACGTCTCCAAACCACACACACACCTCACGCCCGCGCTTTTATATAAAAAATATTGAGGCCCTGCGCGTTCGAATGGCTCTTGAAAAGGTGGTTTCCTTTTTACTCGGCAGCCCAGAGAGCAATAAATAAGAGGATTTGCCTCTTTTTCCTTCCAAAAAGTTCCTTTGAGCAGTTCAACTACTAGCTTGGTGTAACGGGAAAATATACGCATCCAGCAGTACTGCATGAGCATAATTTGTAGAAATGAAATAAAATTGAAATAAAAAGCATTTTTTATATTTTTACCGGCTTTAGACATCTTTGAGTAAAAAAATCACTTTGTAATTATGCATAATATTTTCCCTGCAAATATTTAAAATTCGGTGTGGGGCAGTAATTAATTATTAATCACTTTCATAGCACCATATAATTTCTGGTTTTATTTTAAATTCAATTTATCATTCAAATATGGAAATTATAAAAATACTGCACGATTAATTGTCATTAGTCATTATAATTCAGTATCAATCCATCAAAATCAATAAAATAATATGACACTTTCTGTTGTAATAAAGATTATTTTATATTATTTTTTAAAACTTTACTTAAAATTATAAATTTTAAACATTTTGCTTATTTTAGATCTTTAAATTTTTCAATGATAATTATAAAACTTTTATTAATACAAAATAAGCATTATCAAACAGAAATTTAAATAAGTTATTTGGAAAAGTTTGGAGGCTCTAATTCTAAATATAAGTATTTTAATCCAAATTTAATGTACTTATAGATGAGGCTTATAATACCATGGAAGCCATTTCAATTAAA